CCCCCCGAGAATGCTAGGCTGAGGTAAGTCCTCTATGTACACAGTCCGCATGGTGTTGGAGCTTGTGCTAGCTAGTCAGGACAAAGCATCGGTCTCAGCGTTCTCGGACCTCAGAATCTGTCTGATGAAGTAAGAGATGAAGCCGCGCAGAATCTCCCTAACTTTGGCCAAGTAAGCAGCCATGGTGGGGTCGCGGGATTCATACTCGCCACTGACTTGGTTGACCACGAGCTGAGAATCGTTGCATATGATGAGGTGCTTTGCCTTCATCTCTCTGACTAGGGTGAGCCCGGTGACTGATGCTTCGTATTCTACTTCATTGTTTGATGTTGCAAACCCGAACCGGAGTGCGTATTCCAGCTTCACCTCGCTTGGGCCATATAGAATTATTCCTGCACCGCTTCCTTGTTGGTTGGACAAGCCGTCGACATGGAGAATCCAGGGCTCCTCATCCCAGGTTGGACCTGCTTTGACTGGGACCGGCGCCGCACTGGTTGATGCTTCCATCGTCTGTTCGAGCTCAGTCAGCTCGGGGGTTACGGTACTGAATGTACATTCCGCCACAAAGTCGGCCAACGCTTGGGCTTTGATAGCCGTCTGAGGTTCATATCGGATGTCGTACTTTCATAGTTCGATAGCCCACTTCGTCAGTCTGCCAGACACCTCAGGCTTGAGCAAGATCTGTCTCAAAGGCCTGTTGGTGAGGACGACAATGGTGTGGGCTTGGAAGTATGGACGAAGCTTGCGAGCTGCTATGACTAGTGCGTACGCCAGTTTCTCGATCTCCAGGTACCTAGTTTCAACATCCTCCAAAACTTTACTAACATAGTAGATGGGTCGTTGGACCCGATCTACCTCTTTGATCAGTACCGAGCTGACCACCTTGTCACTCGTAGAGAGGTACAACTTTAAAATATCCCCTTCCTCGGGTCGGGTCAGAACCGTGGTACTAGCTAAGTATCTTTTTAGCTCGTCGAAGGCGAGCTGACACTCTACAATCCACTCAAAGTCTTTACTCTTTTTATGGCTTTAAAAAAGGGTAGGCAACGATCTTCCGACTTGGAAATAAAACAGCTCAGGGTGGCTATCCGGTCATTCAGCCTCTGAACCTCTTTTAATTTGTGGGGTGGTCTCATGTCTAAGATGGCCTTTATTTTTTCTGGGTTGGTTTCAATGCCACGTCGGTTGACTATGTAGCCCAAAAACTTACCCGAGGTGACCCCGAAGACACACTTATATGGATTTAATTTATATTATATTTTCGTAAAATTTGGAAAACACTTTGCAAATCATTTAACAAAAATTTTGAATACTAGGTCTTCACGACCATGTCATCAACGTAACACTCAACTTTATTGCCAATTAACGGTTCAAAAATTTTGTTTACAAGTCTTTGAAAGGTTGCCCTGGCATTTTTTTAATCCGAAGAGCATGACCTTGTAGCAATACAACCCAAGCTTAGTTATAAAGGCCGTCTTTTCTTCATCAGCGGGGTCCATCCTGATTTGGTTGTAACCAGAGTAGGCATCCAGGAAGCTCAGCAACTCATGCCCTGAGATTGCGTCCACTAGGCGGTCGATCTTGGGCAGCGGGAATAGTCTTTTGGGCAAATTCTATTCAGGTTGATATAATCGATGCACATGCGCCATTTGCCGTTGGCCTTTTTTACCAAAACTGAGTTAGCTACCCAGCTCGGGTAATGGACTTCCCTAATGAAGTATGCCGCTAAGAGCTTCCTGACCTCTTCATCGACTATCCTCCAGCGTTCTGGGTCGAGGTTGCGCTTTTTCTGTCTAGCTTGCCTGACAGCTGGGAGCGAAGTGGCTTCTCAATCGAAGCGCCGATCTAGAGAGTCCTAGTTGGGTCATCGGTTGAGACCGGGATGTGGACTGTCTCCTCTGTTGGTGTAGCTCGCTCATCGGCATACTCTGTTGGTCGCTCGAGCTCGATGTCAGCCGCTAGCTTGGGTTTCCCCTTGAGGGTGGCTACGTAGCACTTGTGAGATTTGAGTTGGTCACCTCGCACAACTCCTACTCCGTAGTCCATTGGGAACTCCATTGTCAGGTAGTAGGTGGATACTACCGCTCGTAGGGCGTGCGTAATGGGCCGACCTACTATGGCATTGTAGGGAGAGGGAGTTGCGACTACAAGAAATGTGTGCTCAAACCTCACGATATTCGGCCATGTGCCGACCTCTACGGGTACTGAAACTCACCCTAGAGGTCTGACCTCCTTGCCGTTGACGCCTACAAAGGGAGTATTTGTCAGCTTTAAGTTGCTTTCCTAGAGCTGCAACTTGTCGAATGTGTCCTTGATTAATATGTCTGTCAAGCTACCCGAGTCCACCAAGATGCGCTTGACTTTGAAGTCGTTTAGCCTCAGCTTTATCACCAGGGCGTCGTTGTGAGGATACTGGATCCCACGCGCATCGTCCTCCGTGAAGTGAATCGGGTCTTCAAGTCGGAGCCGCTCTAGCGGGTTCTGCTCCTCACTTTCTAGTTCGCGGACTGAGGTTCGTCCGGCTGCTGAAGTGTACCCTGCGATGATGGACCCGCCAGTAATCATATTGATTACCCTACGGATCGGTCTCTCTTCGAGCAACTACCATGGCGGCTGCTCGTTCTGCCTATTACTAGACTCAGGGGCATTCCTTCTCTGGTCCGCCTGCTGATCTGTTGGCCGATCTGCATGGTTTCTTTCTTCTCGTTGTACAAAGTTTTTAGATACCCACGGCGGATGAGCTCTTCTATCTCGTCGCAGAGGTTTCTACAGTTCTCTGTACTGTGCCCGTGGTCTCTGTGGAAGTGACAGTAGACATTCCTGTTTCTTGTTGCTGGATCTCCCCTCAACCTAGGAGGCCACTTGACAAAGGAGAAGTCCTTAATGGCCATCATGATTTTTCCTCACTTAGCGTTGAGAGGTGTGTAGTTCGTCCTTTCAACAAGTGGGGTCCTAGAGCGCCGACCGACTTGCAAGATCGCGAAGGAGATCAGCACCCAAACTTGTTTCCTCCCCTACTCGAGGACTTACTCTTTCTTCTTTTATGCCCGTCATTACTTGTGTTGTCACTATCTCTTTTTCTTTTCTCTGTCGGGTTGTCAGTCTTCTGGTTCATCTCTTCTTCGGTTCCGATGAACTGGTCAGATAGCTTGAGGAATTCTATGATGTATTTAGGTTTGTTGGCCACCACATGCCATTTGAACTCTTTGTGAGTTATGCCTTTCTTGGCTGATGTTAGTCTTACCGTCGGGGATCTGGAGGCAGGTATCGTTGAAGCATTTGATGTAGCTTCTAATTGACTCTCCTTCTCTCTAAACTACGTTGAGGAGACTCTCCTGTGACCTTGGGCACTTCTTGCTAGTGATGAAGTGCAAGGTAAATAACTCCGCGAACTGTGCCCAGCTCTTGATCGATCACGGCGCGAGGTTTCGGTACCATGTCCGAACTACCCCCTTGAAAGTGATGGAGAAAGCCACGCACATGCAAGACTCGTCAGCCCCAGCTAGATGCATCTGGGACTGGAAGGAGTCCACATGATCATTAGGATCAAAAGACCCATCATACTTGTCCAAGAGAGGCATCTTGAAATCTTTGGGCATCGGGATCGCCAAGAGCTCGGGAGATAGGGGGACGACTCGGAAAGTTGGGGAGGAGTGGCTTTTGTAGCTACTGAGCTCGCTTCCTCCTTACCTTTAGCCTGTTCTTGTTTTTGGTTCAGTCTCGTGAGCTGGCCGTTCTAGGCTGAAGTTCGGCATGCCTTGCGACACCTCCGTTGCTGCTTCTTCATCGGCTCGACATTGGTGCTACTAACCTCAGTATGTTCCGGTACTGTTATGCCATGAGGTAACTTGTGGTTCCTCGTGGGATTCTGGGGCTGGCTGTCATGGACAGAGAGGCCTTGCTTAGAGTTCACACCCAGAACCCCAAACCGGTTACCTGCAAGCGACCCATCTTGCTGCGAACGCCGAGGAAGGTTAGCCCTGTTCGGTTGGGTATCCCCGGATCTGTTTCCGAGGTTCCCTTGTGAAGCGGGCAGAGTGACTTGACTGTCTCTCCTCACGCGAGGTGAGACTTGACTTCTAGGAGGAACTAGGACTTGGGAAGTCTCTTCGCCTCAGTGGTGAGATTAAGTGATACCCTGGTTCACATGAGGTCGGTTCTGGTTCTGTTGGACCCCCGGGTGCTGAGGTGGAACTGGCTGCTGGCTCTGCGGCAGTGGGGGGAATTGCTGCTGGTACTGTTGGTAGAATATGTACTGCTGGTATTGCTGAAACTGTTGGACCTGCTGCATTTGGACCTGGATGGCCCACACACACTACACCAGGTCATCGAACTGAGACTGTCCAATTCCGAGTGGAACCACATACGGCTCAGAAATGGTTGCGCCTACCACTGGGGAAGGTGGGGCGTTCACTTGTGTAGTGTTTTGTGGCATGGTCAGTGTTGGGATTCCAGTCGCAATGAGCGAGATGGTGAACTGGCCAATGCATACTGAAGGAAGTTGAGGTTGCCCTTCGAAGACATTCATCTTGTTGCTCTGTCCGACGTGACTAGAAGATGCCATTGATTTAGAAGGTTGATAGCTTGTAAGAGGGATGACTTTTTGATCGAAATCCCACAGACGGCGCCAATTGATATTGCGCGATCTGACTACTCCCTGCTGAAGGATGATCTGGTTTCCAGTCGGGCGGCGAGCTAACTGAATCTGCAAGAACGGATCAGAGAACCCGGGGTGGCTAGCTCAGGGAGGTCGCTCTGATGCTTAAGTTAGTAACTTGATGCGAGCCGAAAAGCTTTGAGAGCTTAGAGAGCTAAAGAGTATAAGAATCACGTGTACCTTGCACCATTGGGGGTTGGTGCCTTTATATACTGAAGTAGTCGTGGAGCTCACAAAAGAGCTCCGGGATATCTGGGGTGTGGAGATAGAGTTCGTTCCGCTTCCGAAGGAGCAGTATACAGGTAAGGCTTATCGTTCCACTCCCAACTCCGGCGGAGTCGGGATGAGTCTTCATCGTGATCTTGGAAACGTCGGGATCTGTTAGCTCATCGTGATCTCGAGAGATTCGAGATCTGTTGGAGAGACCTCTAGAGTTGGTTACGAGGGAACCAGTTACGTGGCAATTCGAGTTGTTGGTCCCGAGCTAGTACTTCGGTCTTTTAGTTTCGAACTGGATTGGATACCGAGGTTCCTTGATGCCGAGGTGAGCCTTATACTAAGGTGGCCTTGCACCGAGGTGAGCCTTATGTCGAGGTGACTGAATACCCGAGCTCAATTGTTGCGAACTAAACTTGTCAGGCTGAGTTGTCCCCTCTTGATCAGGTTGTGTCCACGTGTCCCCTCTTCGCTAGGTCGGGGCCAAATCACCCTTCATCAATTACTATCTATTTTTTAATTCTAAAAATTATAAAAGTGAAAAAATAAATATTGAAGAAGAAATTTCAATTGATATATGGATATTATAGATCATCCATATACCGACAACATACTCAATCCTTATGGATAAATCACAAGAAAATAAAAATAATTATTTTTATTATTTAATTCAAAAAATTACAAAAAAGTAAAAAAATAAATATTGAAGAAAAATTTTCAATTGTTATATGGATATGATAAATCATCCATAAGCCTACAACATACTCAATCTTTATGGGTAGATCACAAAAAATATAAATAATTATTATTTATATTTTAATTCTAATAATTATAAAAGTAAAAAAATGATGGATATGATAGATGATCCATAGATATATAACATACTCAATCTTTATTGACGGATCAAGAAAATATAATAATTATTTATTTTTAAATTCCAAAATTTACAAAAAAAATCAAAATATAAATATTGAAGACGAAATTTCAATTGTTCTATGGATGTGATAGAACATTAATAGATCTACAACATACTCACTCTTTATGGGTAAATTAAAATATATATTTGTATTTTAGGTTATTTTATATTTTCCCCAACTTTCTTCAAAAAAAATATATAAATCTACTCATAACACCCAAAAAAATTTCAATACAAGAAATGTAGATCTACACATTTAACTATTCTCAAACATTCAAACAAAAAAACACAGAAGAAACCACAATATATTATGAGAAATTTGAAAAAACATATACATATTTTCACAATATCTTCTTAATTTTGAAAAATCTTCACAAAACTTGATGATTGACACTTGTTTTGCATGTGTGTGTGTTTGCAAATCTCGCAATTTGGGAATGGGGTTTGTTATTTTAGAAACTGTTGGGAACTTGGGATGAAAAAAGGCTTCCCCCCCCCACACACACACACACATTTTTTTTTTGATTTTTCCCTTCAGGAATTTATAGTGTATCCATTGAGACGCCACTAATTTGATAGTGTATTAGTCAATGATACAATACACCCTATATCAGCCATATTTTAAATATATTTTGATATATAAATAATATCACATATATATTTAATATGAATAATATTTAATATATATAATCGGGGTTGGGCCCTCATTCCCCATCCTCGACTCCGGTCAGGGATCCCTATTAATCCCCGTCCCCACCCCCACCCCACCAAAGCAATCCCCATCCCTGACCCCATTGGGTCAAGAAAGTTGGGTTCCCGTCAGGGGATGGGGAAAATTGCCATCCCTACGAGAATCCCATCAACTTATCTTATTTGCCATTCCTTAGTTCGAAAAATCAGACCAAAGAAAAAAGAAAATTAGGAAGGTTTTCCATTTACGAGTTTGGATATGCTCCAAACAAGCCTTCTAACTTAGGAGCCTTGTTTTTTACCACTCTGGATCTACAACCCACAAAGTGTTCCAACATCCCTACCCACAAAACACTATTGTCGTGCATTTCAAACATCTCCCCATGAATGATAAGAGAAATATTTCCAATACACATTTGTAATGCACCATGGGTAGAGCCTTGTAACTTGGGAGCCTTGTTTTTTACCACTCCGGATTTGCTACCCACAAAGTGTTCCCACATCCTTACCCACAAAACACCATTTGTGTGTATTACAAACATCTCCGCATGAATGATAAGAGAGATATTTCTAATACACAATTGTAATGCACCATGGGTAGGGATGTGGGAACAAATTGTGAGTAGAAGATCCAAGCCTGTTTTTAAGCAACTTAGGTCTACTACCCACAAAGTGTTTCTACATCCCTACCCATAGAACACAACCACTGTGTATGAGAACATCTCCCCATGAATGGTTGAGAAATATTTCCAATGCATGTTATGGACACACCACCCGGCAGCACACTACGGTGCAATCATAGGCAGCAGCACACACAGCGGGCCACCCAACAGCACGCACCACCCGACAGCGTCGCACAACAGGCTGGCAGCGCGCGGCACATACCGCCCAACAGAGCGTTGCACGCACACGCCCGGCACCGCACAGCAGCAGCACCATGGCGCGCAGCATGCACCGCCAGGTAGCAGAGCACACTGCACGGCAACACGCACCACGCACACGTCGGCACCACACGACAGTGGCACCATGAGCTGCGCGCACGCACTGTACGGCAGCAGCACTGCGCGCACACACCGCGCGGCAGTGGCCCATCCCATGTTGTCTGCGCGCACGCACTGCGCGGCAGCAGCACTGCGCGCATGCACCGCGCGGCAGTGGCACCATGAGCCGCGTGCACGCACCCGGCAACAGCAGCAAAGTGGGGCCCACACGACAGCTCATAGGGGTGGGCCCACCCTTATCTGGACATGTCAACTCACCGCCAGCTTAATCTTATCCCTTATCCCTTATCCCTTATCTTATCCTTATCTTATTTTATCTTCTTAAGTAAGAGTTATGAGTTTTAGTTTGAGTAGGAAATTAGGAGTTTTAGTTTGAGTTGGATTACCCTAACCTAGCCGAATCCAACAAGG